CGGGACCGTGTATACATGCTACTTAGGCTTAAACAGAGACATTTGTTTCCTATCTCCCTGTATGATCTACATGGCAAAATGGGAATGCTGCTGGACAACAAAAGAATGGTCCCTTTGGTTACATTAAGCGGGACAGGATTTACAATGAAAAGCTGCCAGTGCTGAGTGTTCCTCCTCTATGATCCAGAGCAGCCTTGTCATTTTCTAGGACACTTCATTCTGTTTACACTCAAACACTGCTCTGCAAGAGTCTCTTTCCACAACAGATTTCTGTGAACAGTAACCACTGAACTGAACCTGTTCCATCCTCTGGTCTAATTTGTACACCTCCCTTTTTATATTTTATAATCTTTCCTCCCCAAATAGCCCCCCTCCATTTTGCAAACCTGGAGGCTGCCCCAAGCTTTACAGATATCGGTACTTCCTTGTGCAGGGATAGCGTCATTCTGGCCCTCTAAGGAACAGTACTAGGACAAATCTTTGCTATAAGACTGATGTAAGACTGCCACAGATGCTTTGCCTATTAATTGCCTATTTTATCTTTCTTGACACCATCCAGAAATTACAGGGCCAACTTATGATTTATGTTTGTATCTGCTATATATGTACATGACTGCAAAATGTTCATACACATGAATGCCATCCACAAAAGCTTATAGAATAAATCAGTGGTTCCCAACCTTGAGTAATCCAAGTGTTTTTGGACTGCAACTCCCAGAAACCCCAGCCAACATACCTAGCGGTGAAGGCTCCTGGGAGTTACAGTCCAAGAACACCAAGCTTGGAAATCCCTGGCATTAATGATCTGTTGATGCTGATACTCCAACATGAGGAATCAGACAAACCCTTCCAAATGAAGAAAACAAGAATTCAATTGCATCAAAGCAAAGATCTATCTAGACTAGCTTCCTGGTTTCCATAACAGGAAAACAAGATGTTTGTGGAAGTTGTTACGAATGTTAACAATGTGTTAGACAAGAGGAAGGCGGGAAGAGTACAAGTTGCCACATTCCTGGATCCCCTGCTTATCAATTAGTACATATTTAGTATACTGTCTTCCACCCTCATCATACAAGCTGCAGGTCTCCCGTTGTGTATGTGAAGAGGAAGCGATAGAAGGTGTGGAAAGAGTCGTTGTCCAAATGTCTCAGCAACCTCCACTAAGCTTGGGGAAAAACAGCTGAGAAATATTCACTTTTTCCTGATCGAGCTAACAAGTGAGTCTTGAAAACAGGCATGCCAGCCTCTGGATAGTCCCAGACTACAATTCCCATCACCACAGTCACTGACTATGCAGGCTAGGTCTGTGCAGAGCAACTTCTCAGAGCTACTGGTTTTATACACCTCTCAGAAAGTTTAGCAATGATCTCTGCTCTCTCACTCAATCCAAGGCAACTACTACCACAACACCTCCCTTCCAGGGGTGAAATAGGGGGAAGCTCCTGTAGGTTCCTGTTCCCAGTGATGCTCCAATTCATCCATGCTATGCCCATACGCCAGAGATTCAAACCGAGTCCAGAATGGCAAGGTAGACCAGCTGGAGTAGGGTGGGAGTAGGAATGTCACTGAAACTCACCTAATAGGACAGAGTTCACTTTTCTTACTTAAGGTGCCCAACCCCAACCTTTCTTTCCCCCCCAGAAAACAACATGCCAATTTAAAGAAGCCTGTAGCAAACAGCAGTAGCAACTAAGTAACACAGCAAAATACCATTGCATCTTTACTCAGAAATAACATCCTTCATGGGAAGGCAGCGGCCATGAGGGCCCATTGTGGCTGGTGGAGCAGACGGCACAGCAACCAATGGTGGGCAGAGCCAGGAGAGATTAACAGAGCCAGGAGTATGTGTGGGTATTCTCGCTCGCTCACACACAGAGAGACAAGCAAGCATTTCCTGAGATATTCCTTCTCTCACTCTCTCTCTCTCTCTCTCTCTCTCTCTCTCACTCACTCACTCACTCACTCACTCACTCACTCACACACACACACTCAACAGAGGAGCAGAAGAATACATCTTACATCCAAAGCTGAGCAGGTGCCTTATATAGTCACATTCATTCTCTTTATTTCTTTCTCTGCCCCTCCCCACCTGCATCCACACAGAAAGGCTGGAGATTCAACAGGAAGGGAATACACAAGACACTAACTATCTGCCTCTGGCAAAGAGACAGGTAGGTGCAGGCTGGCTAGGGATAGGAAGGCCCAAGGCCCAAGGTGGGGCAGTGTCCTGTTGCCCCCCCCCCAAGAACCTTAATGGTCAGCCTCCGCTAGTCAAGGAGACCTCTTGGCCAGTAGAATGTGCTTCACATGATTACAACCCCAGATAAGCATTTGTAAAATAAAAAACCAAAACAATCCCACTGCAGAACTTGGAAATATTACTTTAAGGAACTACAGTTCCCAAATTCCCTGTGCCAGCCTGCTCGCTAGGAGATCTGGGAGTTGCAGTCAAAAAGTAATGCGTCCAAACTCTGTCCCAGTGGTTTCAAAATACCAAATATACCCAGGAGACCCAAAGCAGAGAGATCAAGTAAAATGATAGGCTTTCCTTTGGTGTTTCCCTCAGACACAGAAGTAGTTTGGCAAAGGACAGAGCCGTGCAAAACACAAACCTGGTATCATATTCATTTGTTCTGCTTCCTCCCCTCTCCCCTCCCCCGCCCCACTTGAAAGCTCTTCCTCACCAGCAAAAACGTTGCCCTTGGACACAATCCTACAAACATTACACACTAATCCTGCTGAAGCTGGGACATTTTGTTCTAAATACACTTGTGAATAAATCTCACCCGTTTAAAAACAACTGGCAAGGAACCACAACACAACATGTGGCCAGAAAAGATGCAAGCCAAAGTTACTCAAGGAAAAAAAAAGAAGAGTCAAACAGACCACACCCTTTCAGTTCAGCCAGAGTAAGAGTGGCCAAAAAGTTCTGCTAGGTCGTGGAGCAAGAACCCAGACTATAATCATCAAACTATACAGCATGAATAAATCCCAGTTACTGAGACTGTGTGATCCCACAGTAAACTAGATTCCCCACCTTTATTTTCCAATTGACAGCACACAACTGATTCAACTTCAGTCTGCTCACAAAACAATAGCAATTGTTTTATTAAATTATTAACTATGCAGTGCAATTATCCATAACAATTATGATTTAGCTACTAATAATTCTCCTTTTATGGGGACTTCCGAGCCAGTCCACGTTCAAGGTGTTTCTCACCCTTAAAGCTTTCACCAGATCACTTTGGTAGGGGCAGTGAAAACCTTCCAAACTGATCTACCTCCCAATCGTGTTTGGAGGATAAAAGGAGAATGACTGTCTATAACGCTTGGAGCTCGCTGGAAGGAGAGTGGCATAAAAAATAAAATAAGCACCGGCTGTTCTGTTGTTGTTGTTTTAACCGTGTGCCATTTGATCTTCTACACGGAAATTCTTTACTCGAAAATAAGACCCACTGAAATCAGCGGAACTTCTACACCAACTGGGCTGCGATTCTGCCGATGTCGAGAAAAACGTCTGTGTTAATAATATTCCCAGGCAAGCCCCATCAGGTTTCAGAACCTGGGCATTCGTCCCGGGAGAGATCCAGCTGGCAGTATAGGAATCTGCTTTCGAGTAAGCCAACACTAGCTAGGTAGGGGGCTGCGACCCTAGGCGTCAGCGCGAAGACAGTGCGAGGCCAGCCGCCCTCCCCGGGAAAAAAGGCGATCTCTCCCCCCCCACCCGAAAAACTGCGCTGCCTCGCGTCCCGCCCCCGGAGGTCTTGCAAAGCGGCGCCTCTGGATCCAAAATCTATCTTGGGCAAGTTTTCGCGTGACACCAGGCGCCGCCAGCACCGGATCCATCAAGTTCACACGCAATTAGAAGACGGGAAGAGTCCCTCCGTTGAAATAAGCCCAACAACCAAAAGACAGAGAAATACAGAAAGGCGTTTTCCTGAGAACTGCCAAGGCAGGGGAGCTATTAGGGAGCTGAGGTGGGAGGAAGGAATCAATTCGGATTAATGACTCAGAGGCGGCCCTGGGTCTCTTTCAATTGTCTCTCTTTCTTCTCCACAGGTCCTGACTCCCTGTTAAAAATGAAAGACTTCCTCCCCACCCATCCAGCCTTCCAGGCATCTTTCCCCTCCCTAACAACGCACAGCCCGCCAACTGCGCCGAACTTGCCCGCGTTTGGACAGCGCGGCGGGAAATCGCGGCGTGATGCCGATGCCACAGACCCGCCGGGCGCCCGACGCAAAGCGACATCAATTCGCCGCGGCAAGAAACGGCGCTTCCCTCCTGCTGCTTTCTTTCTCCCCCACCTTTTTTAAAAAAATTTTTTTTCCAATTCCCGAGGTTGCTCCGCATCATCATCATCCAGGGAAAACTTGCTCGCCTTCCTCTCCAACCCCACCAGTTGCACTTTCTAACCCGCAGCGCGGGTTCCTAACCCTCCATTCATATTTTACCGATGTCAATGGAGGGGGAGGAAGGAACACTTTCCTCCCTTGGGGAAAAAAAAGCAGCGCTCTCTCGGAAGAACTCTTGCAACAAGTGTCGCGCCAAGGAAAGTGCACGATGGCAAAGCCAGGCGAACCCGGAGATCGCTACCTGACGCTCAGCCGCCACCGCCGCTGCTGCTGCTTCCCAAGGAAGCTCCGCTCCGCTCCTCCCTGCTGCTGCTGCTACCCGAAGCCAGCGCTCTGCAATCCGCCGAACGCCGCGCGCACGAGAATCGCGAAGCTCTCGCCCGACGCAACTGTCTTGAGCCAACCGCGACCCCGTAGTGAGCGGAACGTACCATTTCGTGTTACTCCGGTGGAAAAAAAACACGCACTTTAAAAAAAAGTAACAGCATATTTTCCCCACCTACACTGCACAACTCCGTTGCTTTATAGATGCGTAGCTCGGTTATACTTTAGCTCGGGGCGAAAAGAAGGTGAGCTCTAGAAACCACAAACTGCTTCTTTTCCCCCCCATCATGTAGAGTGGTACAGCCGGGGAGGGGGGGCGTGGTGTTTGAAAGTGGGCGCAAAGGCGGGAGCGCCGTTCGGAAAACGTGGAGGCGACGCCGGAGACTCGGAGCGTCTCTAAGGTGGGTCCGTTGTTGCTCAGAGGCGGAAGGGTCCCTCTTTTCTTTCGGGAGCGGAAGCAGGAGGCCCTCCGGCGTTTCGTCCTCCTTTTGCCTCTGCCTCTCCTCGCCTCAAAAGACACACTGGCCGGAGGAGAGAGAGGGGTGCGCGGCTGGTCGTACCGCCATCCCTGTGTGAGAAATGGGTAGCCGAGCGAAGCCGCTTCCAACCCTTTAAGCCGCTTTCAGCGCCCGGGAGGGTGTGTGGGTGTGTAGGTGTTCACCTCCCTCTCCCATGGGTCTGCAACAAGCAAGCCAATCTGCTCCTCCGAGGGTGCGTGCGTAGACACACACCCCTCTCTCTATTCTGTGTGTGTCTGTGTGTGTCTGTGTGTGCGTGCGCACGCGCGCATACATACATACATACATACATACTATATAATAATAATTTATTGTCATTGTAAGTATATACACAGTACACCCATACAACGAAATTCACAGACACCCAGAGACCAGACACATGCACACACATAAAATTCCCCAAACACTTCCCACCCACTAAAAATCCCCCACTGAAAATACAAACATCTACACCGGAGGCCAAGTAATACTATCCAACTAATTATTCACTACTGGTGGTCTTTAAGCTCATTATTAATTGCAATTATAGCTCTGGGATAAAAACTATTGAGAAAACGTGTGGTCCGAGTCTTAATTGTTCTATATCTTCTGCCAGATGGTAAGAGTTCAAAAAAATTATAAGCAGGATGGGAAGAGTCTCTCAGGATGCTTTCTTGCAAATATGCTTTCTTGCACATATTTGCAAGAAAGCAAAGCTACTCCACCCTGTGTGTAAATCCTTTTTCTGGATTTTTCACCCAAGGTTATATGCATGTGTTGCCATAGTCTTGAATTTTTCTATGCTATCTTCATAATAGCCCAATTGCTTTTATTGATAGCCATGTAGTGGCATCCGTGGCGTAAGTATGGGCACTCTGGCTGTTGACACCACAGTTGCCCAGTCCTACATGCTGACCTTCCCTAAGCAATGTCTTTTGATGTTCATGCAGAACCAGAATAAAAACCAAAAGTATTGTAATACCTTAAAAGTTACCAGATGTCTTTCAAAGGGAACGTTATTGGTTTACAGTCCAAAACTCTAATGCTATTGTTACTTTGAAATGTCATTTTCTGTTTTCATTAAGCCCCAACTCTTACAATGTATACTTCTGTATAAAGTTGCTGGCTGCATATTTCACTCCACCTGTCTTATGAAATAGAACTTTAATCCATGAAAGCTTGCAGTGAAATAAACCTTTTACTTTTATTTTTTTTTCTTATAGATGCTGAGAGAGGCTAACTTTGCTACATGTTTTAAAACTGTTCTAATATATAAAATACTCAGTTTCCTGCAATCTATGGTTTATCTTCTTGCTTGAAGCTGCCACATGAATTGAACAAAATTCAACTGTTAAAATGTGAATGCATACAGATGTAGAAAAACATACTAGAACCTAATGAGATATCCCAAATCAAAATTGAAAAGGAAGAAAAACTAATTAATTTCCTTTAAAATCTGCCCTTTTCCATAAGAATGAGATGTACTGTCATTACTTCCATTAATGGATATCTGTTTTTCTTCACAAACTATGGGGTCAACAACCAAGTCTTTACTTTAAAAAGATATAAAATTTTGGGCATTAAAACTTGAAGGCTATGCAGTGAACCCTTGCTAATTTTACTTGTTATGGGCATAATACAAATGTATTATGGCATAACCTTTCACATTGCACTTCATCAGATGCACGCAGCGTCCAGAATTTCAAGCAAACATTTTACATGGTTGGGGTTGTAGACAGGTGAGAGGGAAGTTAGATACAGAAAGTATTACTAGTAGAGATGGGGGTATTTGTATAGTAATATGTCCCACAGGTGGAGATAATGAGAGTTATTAGCCACTCCTGGCAGGAGGTGGGATGACAAGCCTCTCTGCCAGGTTGCAGAGTGGCTAATCCATTGCGGATAACAGTGTGATAGGAAGCCTCCACCGAGCTTGCGTCTATGGCGGAATGGTGATTGGACAGGCTGGCCCCATGGGGCCGGACCCTCATTATTTCCACCTGTGGGGGGATATTTGTATACAAATATGAATACCCCCATCTGTACTGTAATTAATAGTGACAATTACATTATTTACAGTATACTGACCTTTCTGATATATGGTACTCAATAAGCCTATGAATATATATAGTGTGATTTTAAAAAGCTCTATCTCAGGTAAGTGTGCATAGCCTTAAAGCACTAGTAAATATGTCAGCAGACACACTACAGTACCCTGCTCAGGCCTATTGCACTCAGACATTTACTGCACATTGGTCCTGGTTACTTGGGGCTTCCAGTGATCCTGCATTCAGGCCTGGGCTATATCCATATGATTAAAATAACTCTTCATAGTCTATAGGACAGAAGTGGCAAAATGATTTCAGTTACAAAATAAATAATGCACTTTAATCCCTTGGAAATTATTAGGGCATAAATGCTTTGCTTGGTAGACTGTGTTCTACATCCATCAATTCACATACTTTCTGCTTAATTTTCCTCTTTTTCCTAGGTGCAAAATGATTATACCTGTGAGATGTTTCACTTGTGGTAAAATAGTTGGAAACAAATGGGAAGCGTATCTTGGCCTTCTGCAAGCAGAATATACAGAAGGGTATGCATTCTTCTTGTTGCACACTTGTGTCCTTGCAACTTTTTTTTAAATAAGAGAAGTCCCTATTAGCATTTACAGAAACACTGAGCTTATTGCCACAAAGGAGTGTGTATGTGTTCTGTGCTGTCAAGTCAGAACTGACTTATAGCAACCCTAATAAGATTTTCAAGGCGACTGAGGTATTTAAGAAGTGGCTTTGCTAGTTCCATTCCCCCAGTGAGTTTCCATGGATGAGTGAGGATTCAAACCCTGTTCTCTAGAATCCTAGTCCATCGCTCTTTCCACTATACTACACTGAGAATATAAAAGAAAGGTATAGCCCACAATTATTTTTTGTATCATGTGAATTGGCAGTAAGGGTTTTCCCCCCAAATAACAATGTTATCAACATAAAACTATAGTATGTGAAAGATAAAGTCAGCCCAAGAGATATACTCCTTCCCTGTTCAAACAACAGAATTAAAACAGGACTAAAGGAAGAACTTCAAATACCAATTTTGAGGAAGATAATATGCCACAGTCAACAGTTATTAGCTACATCTAATGAGTTTCATGGTGAGAAATGTGAGTTAAGGGAATTTTCAATGCCTATGAACTGTAATAGGGCCTGAACCTTTAAAATGTTATATTTGTTGTTTGGTTGAAAATCAGAGCAGCCTGTGTACAATTAATAGAGATAGTCCCTATCCTGGACCTAACAACTGGGAAGTCAGGACACAAAGAAAGAAATGTGGGAAGGAAAAAGGAGGAAAAAAGTAAACTAGATCCTTGTTCTTATAATAGTCAGTTTTAATATGAAATAGCTCAGGAGAGGAGGAGGAGGAGCTGGTCTGTCAGTTTCTTTGGTTTGTTTTTGTAGATCAGTATTTTAATTCCTTCTATATGTTTTCCTTTTTTAAAAATGGCTAAATATATATCCTTTTACATGCCATCAAGTCGATTTTGACTTACGGTGACCCTTTCCAAGGTTCTATAGGTACAGAATACTCAGAAGTCGTTTACTATTCTTTCTGGGGGTGCTTAGGCACAAGTACCATTTAGATTGCCCAAGGCCATACAGGCTGGCTCTTCTTTTTCTTCCAGGAAACATAGTGAGGAATCAAACTCCAAACCCCTGGCTACAGAGCCAGGTACTCCATCTCACTGAACTATCCAGACAGCTATTTTGTATATAGATAATGTATAATTCATGTTTTGGAAGCTGTGTAGAATTATTTTTCTAATTTTAGTACCCTGTTTCCCTGAAAATGAGACCTAGTCTGAAAATAAGCCCTGGTATGATTTTTCAGGATGCTTGTACAGTAATATAAGCCCTACCCCAAAAATAAGTCCCAGTTAAGTGCAACCCCACCCTCCACCATTGTACAGCAACCAGAAGAAGATGACATAACTAAAATAAAACATCCCCTGAAAATAAGACCTAATGCATTTTTGGACAAAAATTAATATACGAGCCTGTCTGATTTTCGGGGGAACACGGTAACTAGTGAATAACTTGTGGGGGTCAGATGATATCAAGCAAAAATTATACAGCAGAAAAGGTTTGCGAAATGGTTCCATGCTTGTTTAGCTAGAATTTGGAGACAGTCTATATCAGGGGTGTCCAACCTTTCACCTTCCCTGGGCCATATTAGAAGATGAAAATTTGGTTTGGGCCGCACATAAATTTGGTTTGGGCCGCATGGGGTGGGGCAGCCCTACCCATTGGCCTCCACAGCCCTGCTCCAAGTGCGCTTACAGACAGCTGCGATCTCACACAGCAGAGGCTGCCAGCTTCAACTCCAGTGGCTTTATGGTGCCGTCCCTATTGACAGGGACGGCACAATGCAGTCACACAGCCCCCCTCTCCCCTCCCCTCCCGATGCGTCTAACAGCGGGGTAGGAGCAGTTCTGTGCCAGTTCGGGATTTCTTTAAAAATAAAAAAATTGCATCGGGCCGCAGGTTGGACAAGCCTGGTCTATATCTTGCTTTGATGCTGTATCTACCATCTACCCTTAATGGTGTTGCTTCTGGTTTCAGGCTAATCATACCTGTTGTGAAAATCTGCTGCTTTTCATTGCAAATGAAGAACTGAGGGGTGTGTGTGTGTCTGTGTGTGTGTGTGTGTATGTATACTGTATATACTGTATAAAATTTCAGATTATATAATGTTCTTGTAAATTATTTCTGTAATAAATCACCTGAATGAGTGTAGACCTTAAACAGAAATCTGATTCTCATGCAGTTTATTGTGTTAATTTTTTTTTACATTAACCACAAGAGCACACAACGCATTTGAGTTTCTCTTAGGAGCTGTCTATTTCCGCTATCCACTTTCTGTCAACGTTCAGAATAGATCTATGTGTCAGATATTATTAAAATCATTCCTTGTTGCAAAAACTGGGCTAAATAAACTGAATAATCTGCCTGTCTGGGTATCCAGAGGTTAGGCAGCATTTGGAAATGCTTCTTTTTACTTGCATTGAGTTTCTTTAGGCTATCATCTAGCAGAGCCATTCTCAATGGGAGCCATGTGGCCCCCTGGGGGAGGTCTGGCACATTTGAAGGGGGATACAGACTGGAAACAATTATTTACACACACCCTTATAAGGTTCATAATGTGACGTATACAATCCTGATTCGGCCTATATTTCTTTCATATTGTGTTTATGGCTGTGGCCAAAAAAAAGGTTGAGAATGGCTCCTGTGGTAGAATATGAGAAGATAAATCATAAAGAGCACGTTCAGTTCTACTTGATAGTCTGGCTTAATGTGTATCATCTATAAAGTTTCTAAAAACCAGATTGGGGATTGATGGAAATCACTGTAAAAAATGAATTGCTATTAAAACCTTTAACAGACTCATCTTTATTATCAGTTGAACAACTTGTGAGCTCATATATTGTATGGGGAATTCTACCTTATATTTATGCTGGTGCCTGTGCTGGAGGCCTGTAAGGTCAAGAGACCTTATCTTATGTTCATTGGTTCCCTACTTCTGTTTTACAGCCTTAACCTACTTGATCTCTGAGTCGCCACATCACAAAGTGAATGTTAATTGCTTGATACCCATTATGGAAATGGAAGTTCACTCTCCCTGTGACTGCCACTGGGCACAAATCATGAGCAGAATTTTCTAATGTAGAGTGTCCTCTCCTTACATACCAAAATATGCTTTAATAATTCTTGGAAAATCTCAGTTTGTCTATTAAATGTCGTTGGTCCAGTGGGCCAGCAGCCCTGCTATACAAGCCCTAGCTAATTACTCTTTGCTAAAAGCCAGAAAATAACAGAACACTGATTTAAAGGTTAGGGCTGAGACGAGAGGAACTGCCTTTGTAAGACAGAGGCTGAGTAGCAGGGTCTGATCTTGAGGATCAACTGTGCCCTAATGCAAGAATCGCTCCAGCTCCAGCACCCAGCTTACTATTACGTTTGCCAAACATTTCACCACATGCTCCAGAATGATCAAGAAACTCATAGTCATGCTGGGCAGAGAAAATCAGGCTATCCTTAATGTTTAGAGGCACTAGGAGGAAATTTAGCCCATACCCAGAGTTGACTGAATGCATACTTTTATTTTCTCTCACATACCGCTGGAGGAAAGAAATGAAGTGCTGTCCTTGAGGACAACGTTTCAGCACAGGAAAAACTATTCTCCCTCTGACATGCATACAAACAGGGTTCTCCTAATAGAAGAATATCGGTCACACTTTCTTCTGCATGAGGATGATCCTGGACAAAAGCCCTCCCTACACATGTGCATTCATCATAAACAATGTACACTGAGATGGCTGTATATATTGCAACTGGTAAACCATATTATCATTGTTTCTTTAAAAGAAACAAAACTTCCATACATCTTGCCAGTCTGGCAGTCATCTAATATTTCCTCTTTGGTCTCCCTCTAGAATTTTTAACAGGTTGATTTCTTCTGCTTTCTTGAATTTTTTTAGTGCTGATTCTCTTTGACCCTTTTGAACCTAGTGTTTATTGTCTTTCTCTCAGGACTGTTTTACTAACATGTGGTGATAAATAAAGACTCAAGTCTTTATTCTGTATTTCTGTTGTATGTTTTGGTAATTAGCCATTTTGCTAATTCCTTAGTTAGTTTCTGGAGTCTCTTGGTTTTTATATCAGTTGCATATTTTTCTTTCTTTTTTCAGATTCTGTTCTCTATATTTAGATTACAAGCTGCTTTAGTCAAGGATCCATTTGCTTTATCCCCTGCATAAGCTGTAAAAATGAAATGGTATCTGTGTATTTGAAGTTGTAGGTTTGGAAAGATGCATGAAATATACAATACAGTCATAGAGTTAGAATATTAGGGATCATCAGTTCCAACCCCCTGCTGTATGTACTGTAGGATGCAGCTGTCCAGTGTCTGCAGCAAAGAACTCACTCATCCTAAGCCATTCTGTTCCACAGGTGAAGATTTTTCACCATTAGGATGTTTATCTTGAGATTTAGCCAAAATATGCTTTTCTGCCATTACTACTCTATCCTTCCCTTATGGAGCAACAGAGAATAATTTTGATCTCTGTTCTGCATGACACACTTCAGCTGTTTGAAGGGCTCTATCATATCTTTTTTTTACCAATGTAGTTAACTGTTTCAACTGTTCCTCATAGTACTTGGTTTCCAAACCTTTTGCCATCCTGATAACCCATATGTTTACACGATTCATTTTTAATACCATATTTAATATATGGCACCCTGAATTGGACATAGTACTTGAAATGCAGCCTCTAAATAATTCTGCTTGAATAAAGAAGAATAAATGGTAATTCAGAAAGTTTTTAAAAATATATTTTGTTAATACATTGGAAGAATGTATTCTGCTGCTGCACAGGTGGTTGTTTCAAAGATATGTAGTCCCATATTCCTTTGTAGTCTAAACACAAAAAACTGTCTACATGAAACTGAGAAACCATTCTTTGCTTGAGTTTCTGGTTTTATAGTGGGAGCAATTATATGTGTACTATAAGGAGGTGATGAATTCTTATTTATAAACTGTAAGCCAGTGGAGGCAAACCTTTTTCAGCTCAAGTGCCCAAAATGGGTGGGTGGGGAAGAAACCAGTGGTTGCTGTGCCGCCGGGAAGACCAGAAACGGAACAGGAAGTGACAGTTTCAGGGGGAATCATGGGGATGGACAGGAAGTTAAAAGGAGGAAGCATGGCAACAGACAGGAAGTTAAAGGGGGAATCATGGGGACGGGCAGGAAGTTAAAGGGGGAATCATGGGGACGGGCAGGAAGTTAAAGGACCCAGAACAGGAAGAGAAAGGGGGAATCCCAGCTGCGGCCACTTCAAAAGGTTTGTCACGTACCAGAAGAAAGGGCTTCGCATGCCAGCTGTGGCACGGGTGCCATAGGTTCGCCATCACTGCTAAGCTATCTAAACATGGTGAGACAGTCGCATGCCAGCTGTGGCACGGGTGCCATAGATTCGCCATCACTGCTAAGTTATCTAAACATGGTGAGACAGCCTGTCAAGAGTTCATTCAGCATCATGAGACTTGCCCCCTCTGGCACAAGAATGAGACAAAGATTTGAGAGAGTTTATTCATTGGGGCTCCTATACTTTGCACAAAATGGCTCTGCACAAAACTTTGTTTCTTTCGCTTTATGGAGCAAAGCAGACACGCATAGGAAGCACATAAGATCTTGCTGATTGATTAGGACCACACAAACAACTCGCCCATCCTTCTTGTTTGCTTGGAGCAAAGTCCATGGTTTTACACAATTTTTCACATGTTGTGCAAATTTTTTAATCTGTGCAAAAATCTTTTATGAGTAAGAAATCTCATGTTCAGACTGACATACAATATTTTGGAAGTGATGGAAAAAATATGGTTTCTCATTCTCACATGAGATGATAGAAACAGATACTTTCATTTCTTGGTTTATCATGCTTTATTAAGACAGACTGCCAAGATGTTTCTTCAGGACTGGGAGAGAACAGGAAGTGGGGAAATTCCAGACGGTAAAGATGCAATGAGTGCAATCAATTGATGCTAATTATTCTAAGTTGTGTTGGAAAGGATGTCAGAAAATACGTACTTATATATGTGGAGGGAATGTGAGAATATATTGACATTTTGGCAGTTGGTGTTCAAGGAAATAAATGAAATAATTAAGTATAGAGGTTTGTCCTAAAATACCTCTTATCAGAGAAAGAGTTGTGCACATTTGCAAGAATCAAGGCAGTTTTGGCACATAATCATTTGTATCAAGGGAATGGGACTCTGTAAATGGAAGAAAAACGTGGTTAAATTTCCAAAAAGTCCCAGCACGGAGGAGAACACATTATGTATTGCTGTATTGTTTATAAGATTTTGAGTTATTAAGGTTTTTTTATCGCCTTTTTTGTTGCTTGTATTTTTATTTTAATAAAATGTGGTTTTTAAAAATGTAATCAATGTACGTTTTGAGATACATTTTTACTTTTTTTAAAACTAACAAATCTGTAAAACCAATAACTGAAATACAAACCAGGCAGACTCACTTACAGCTGCATTCTCTTTTTCTTAAAAAAACAAAACAAAATAAAACTGGGTGTAGCTCAGACCCTCTGTCTAGTGTTACTGGGGCTCTAGACCCCCATTCCCTGCATGTTTCATTTTCCTGCTTTATGGGCAAGGCCTTGGATTCTGCTCCTAGTGTGCTGCCGTTCTGTAAAACCTCTCCTATTTCTCTTTGTTTTTAGCGATGCGTTGGATGCTCTGGGTCTAAAGAGATACTGTTGTCGGCGAATGCTGCTTGCCCATGTTGATCTGATTGAGAAGCTCCTGAACTACGCCCCTCTGGAGAAATAAATGTCTAGAAGACTGTGTAGCATTATAGAGTCATACAAGCCAGAGTGCTGCTAGAAATCCTCAAGCTGTAAACTGCTAGGGTTTCACATGCACATCATTCTGTATTAGGGATTTTATTCTCTGGGCATACTATTGTACCAACCACTAACCTCTGCAAAGAAAACTGCTGAAAGCTGCAATCCACTTGCACACAGTCGGAGACTATTGTTTTAATTGAAATAGGGGTGAAGGTTCTGCAGAAATGCGTGGATTTTGAAAATGTTGATTTTTTAAAAAAAATTAACTGACAGCTATAGCTAGTTTCGGATATTGCAATGTTTGTCTGTCCTTCCTCTTCCCTTTCATTTATTTTATTATTATTATTATTCTAAGTCTCGTTCAGGAAAGTAGAAAGCGCTAACGGCATACTAACTGCTTCCAGATTGTTTATTCCTGGCATCTATCAGTGTTAAGGAGGGAAAATCACCTCTGCAATGTGCTTCCTCACTACTGTATGATATGAAGTTATCTTAAAGGCTTGAGATCCAGCTGAGCGTTAGGTGCCATGAGTTGTCATGTGAAAAACTAATAATAAAAATGGAAGATGGATTTTCTTTGCTTAGAAAAGCAGGTCTGTGACTTAAAAATGGTGGAAGGGGCATTATCAATCAAACTCAATCTTGTGTGCTAAAAGAAGGAATATTGTCAGAGCTACAGTGAATATTGCTAACACTCTCTTCTTCCTTCCATTCTTCTTACATGTCACATTGCAAAACTGGAAGTCAGTTTTCCTGAGCTGCTGTAAAAGCTCTAAAAGTTGAGAGGGCACAGCTTCAGAAATGCAAAGTGAGGGCCAAATACTTAGATGCTAAGGGAGCATTTGGGCCTGAGTTGTGCCTTGAATGGATGACTTTTAGGGAAGCAAATCTATACTGCAGCACATCAACATGGAAGAAAACTGAGTGCAATTATTATAAATGGGATAACATAAACACTTTGGGGAGAATATGAGTTACTATTTATTTATTTAAAATATTTCTATGCCACCTTTCTCCCCAAAAGGACCCAAGGCAGCTCACATTACTAAAACAATATTTAAAGCTCAAACAGTAAGTATACAAATACAGTGGTGCCTCGCTTTACGATTGCCCTGTATTACGACGAAACCGCATTACGACAATCTTTTAAACGATAGTCTGAATAGGGGTTTTTCACTTTGTGATGATTGGTTCCCTGCTTCGGGAACCGATTCTTCACAAAACGATGATTTTCGGACAGCTGATCAGCGGTTTCAAAATGGCCACTGGGTCAATAAAAAGGCTCCCTGCTGTTTTCTGGGATGGATTCCTACAAGCCAGCCACCGAAAATGGCCGCCCTATGGAGGATCTTCACTGGATGGTGAGTTTCCGGCCCATTGGAACGCATTGAAGGGGTTTCAATGCGTTTCAATGGGCTTTTTATTTTCGCATTACGATGTTTTTCTCCAGCGATTTCGCTGGAACGAATTAATGTAATGCGAGGCACCACTGTATTTAAAAAGGATTAAACAAGTACTATATTAAAATGGTAACTAAGATCAATATCAAAACACATTTGAAACAACAGCACTCAACAGTCTATTTAAAATCCCTCTCAGACCACTGGTCATTAAGGAAAGGCCTGCCTGTCTGTGGAAGGACAGCAATGATGGTTCCAGCCTAGCTTCCCATGGAAGGTCATTCCAGAATCTGGGAGCAGCGACAGAGAAGGCCCTCTCCTGTATCTCCATTAAGTGCACCTGCGAGGGTGGTAGGACTGAGAAAGGCCTCCCCTGATTATCTCAATGCCCAGGCAGGCTCATAGAGGGAGATGCAGTCTTTTAAATTCTTTGGACCCGCCCAGGCAGGCTCATAGAGGGAGATGAAGTCTTTTAAATTCTTTGGACCCAAGCTATTTAGGGCTTTGTAGGTTTGAATTGTGCCCGGAAACAGATTAACCAGCTCCAGTTAACAATCTGGCTGCAGAATTTTGGACCCTTCGGAGTATCCTAACACTTTCCAAAGGCAGCCCCACATAGAGTGTGTTACAGTCATCAAACCAAGATGGGCTCATAGAGGGAGATGAAGTCTTTTAAATTCTTTGGACCCAAGCTATTTAGGGCTTTGTAGGTTTGAATTGTGCCCGGAAACAGATTAACCAGCTCCAGTTAACAATCTGGCTGCAGAATTTTGGACCCTTCGGAGTATCCTAACACTTTCCAAAGGCAGCCCCACATAGAGTGTGTTACAGTCATCAAACCAAGATGGGCATGTGTCATTGTGGCCAGATCAGACCTCTCAGTGTGGTTTGGCCTCTAGATAAGAAGTAGCAGCTTTGTTGTTTTTGTCTTTGCATATATGCGAAGAGGGGATATAGGGAAGACAAGCTGCAAATACATGTTACTGTAACTGCTAGCTGTACAGTGACTCTCCTCTCCTGTATGGGGGTCAGCTTCTGCCAAGTTGCCTTTAATTGGGTTTTATCAATTTCCTTCTTTTTTTACATATATATAAAAGGCTGATTTTGGAACATTATTAAACTACTACCCATTATTATTCTCATCAGTTCTACGAATCTTTACAAGTTAAGCTTCCTTTTTCATTTATTGCTGGGATGCAAGAGATTGCTCTTTTCCCCCCAGCATTCAGCAGTTCCTCATTTAAAAGTGCTCTGTTGTATTTTAAACCACATGCTTTATCCTAATGCAAAGGGCATTAAGTGATTAATTCTGGCATTTGTGTTTCACAGTTGGTTGGAGAGCTTATGTGTTGTACGCCTGCCACATTATCTAGGAAAATGCCTGGAAAAACAACGTTCTGTTTCAAGCTATATGTTTCTGGAGTGCATAAGTTACCCTTCTTTGCTTTTGTCCATCCCAAGTGCCATCTTCAGGGAATAATTTTCCTGCTCCGGGATGCCAGCTTTAGTCAAGCAGCAAACTTTTATATTAGTTTCCTTTCTGCATTCATTAACCCTAGCAGATGGGCTGGTTTTTATCCTTGCTGATTTTACAACTCGGCCTTTATCCCACCAGGATGGGTACAAGCCAGTCAGTTTTGTGTCTGTGCAAGTACAGGCAGATAAAAGAAGGCACCACTGTTGCACCTGCATGTACAACCTTTAGTGGCCACTGCAGCCGTTTTGCACCAAAACAAACCAGGGAAATTGGATCAGTTAGGAAGGAAAGAAGGAAGGTACAGCCACAGTCTCTTTATCTCCACAACAGCCACAGTGTCATATATATATATATATACACAATATCTCCACCATGATATTGTTCCTCTTAGTTGCTTTTGTTGAGATCTTTGTGCAACTCTAATGACCACTTGGAGGTTTGTCCATCAGCATATTTGCTCGGCTATACATTTGTATAGGCAGGTATATGCAGCATATGGCTGATGTACCGTGAGTAACTGGGCCCACTGCACTCCCTTCCCTAACATTTTGACTACTGGACCTCTGCTTTCTAGCAAAAGCAAATAAATTCCATCATCCTGAAGTCTGCCCATTCTTGCCATACAGATTATTGTGAACCAGTGTTGGGAGCAGCACAAGCTTCTAACTGGGGTAGGAACATGTGGCTTGTTAGTTGAATGTGGCATCCCAGGGTACCCCCCAAAAATTGGGAATGGAGAATGACTCCCAAGTCCCTTTATGCCCTGAAGATAAATGGATCATATTGGAAGGTTCCTTGCTATTTTTAAATGATTTTTAAGAAATTGGCCACTAAAGACACAAGACACCTTTTTTTAAAAAAAAGAAAAAAAGAGAGAGATGGAAGTCACAGCTGCTTTCTAGCAAAAGCAAATAAATTCCATCATCCTGAAGTCTGCCCATTCTTGCCATACAGATTATTGTGAACCAGTGTTGGGAGCAGCACAAGCTTCTAACTGGGGTAGGAACATGTGGCTTGTTAGTTGAATGTGGCATCCCAGGGTACCCCCCAAAAATTGGGAATGGAGAATGACTCCCAAGTCCCTTTATGCCCTGAAGATAAATGGGTCATATTGGAAGGTTCCTTGCTATTTTTAAATGATTTTTAAGAAATTGGCCACTAAAGACACAAGACACCTTTTTTTAAAAAAAGAAAAAAATGAGAGATGGAAGTCAGCAGTGGGTGTAGCCCTCCAAAAGCCAGGGACTGGCATAAATAGTTCCCAGAATTCTGGATGTTGCCCACCTCCAACTTATATTATTTGATGGCTAGATGGCTTTGAGGACATGTTTTTCCACCCCAATTTCAAATTGTGTTTCAGCAGAAGTGACTGTTCATAGTAGACTTAACTGTTACTAAAAATACATTCATTTCTGTAGAATAGATTTCATCTGAGCCAGTAGCTTTAGGGACGAACTAGCAGCTACGAGGAAGAGAGAACTGTTGTTGCTCTGTATTTGTCTAGTGATAAAGAACAATACTGAACATGATATATCATCATCTTGTGTTTTTCCCAAAGTAATGAATTACTGGTAGCAGGAAAACAAGAAAACACATGAAGTGATGCCACCATATCTGTGGTTACACATTGCTCTAAAGAAGAACATTTCAACAACACAGATATTGTACCATATTTCTTGTTACATCCAACTCTGCCTAGTTCCATCATAGAAACATTACTGTTTGACCATCAGAAATGTAGTAGGCATCCTTCAGTCTCGAAAGACTATGGTAGCGTGCTCTGTATGGAGGACTTGGAACAGCGTCTAGTGTGGCTGAGGAGGCCAATTCGAGAGTGACAATCCCTTCCACACTGGAGACAAATCCAATCTGTCCCCTGTCCAGCTCCCTGGTTTTGCTTCCTTTGTGACTTCCTCTTTGCCTCAGCCTGCTGGACAAGGGTCTCTTCAAATTGGGAGAGGCCATTCCATGTTGACTTCAAAGTTTTGATGCTTACGTATAAAGCCCTAAATGGTTTAGGGCCTCGATACTTGGCGGAAAGCCTACTCCCACCTAGCTCTACCTGTGTCACTCGTGCGAGTCAGGAGGTGAGGCTGAGGAGCCTGATGCCAAGGGAGGCCCAGAAAGAAAAAACAAGAAACTGGGCCTTTTCAGCGGTGGCTCCTCACCTCTGGAATAATCTGCCTCCAGAGATTCACGCGGCCCCCCTCGCTGGGCACCTTTAAAAACCAACTGAAAACATGGATGTTTCGGCAGGCCTTCCCTCCCAGTTAATTCTTGATTTTCCTCCCTTCTTCTCCTATTATGAATTATGTCACTGGTTCTCCATCTTGTAGAAGTTTTTCTAAATTTCTTATTATGAGAATTACACACACACACAAACATACACACACACATACACATTTGTGTTTGTATTTGTGTTGTAAGCCGCCTAGAGTGGTCGCAATGACTAGATAGGCAAGGTATAAATGGAATGAATAAACAAACAAACAAACAATCAAACAAACAAACAAATAAATATTCCTGCACCATTTTTCTACACAAAGCTTAACTAGGAGCTCAAAGAATAATAAGTTAAAGTATTTAAAAGGATTAATTCATTCATTCCATTTTTATCCCATTCCATTTTCCCCGAAAATAAGACAGGGTCTTATATTAATTTTTGCTCCAAAAACGTATTAGGGCTTATTTTCAGGGGA